ATGGGCGCCCTTCCCCCAATGGAGGGGGGGGGGGGGTTTATATTGTAATACTAAAAAAAACATGCTCCAATGCAAATATTTATTCGAAGAACTTTATATACATAATTAAACATCTCCCTCACACAACATCTCTACATTTTTTTTAGCACATTTAACATTCTTTGTTTGAACATGCTATTTTACAGGGCTTTCTGAAAAATAATTTTTGGAAAATATTTTTTAATATTCATCTGGATTGAAGGAGCAGACACTGAGCAACAGAGTTAAAGAAGTTAACATTATAGTTAATATCATTTAGCCTATGTCAGGGTATCTGCAGGGTTTTTTAAATCAAATTTAAGGCTTTTAACCACCTTTTAAAAATCTGCAAAATGAATACCGTAACATTTTAAACCGTAATATGACTGTATAAAGCATGATTTACAGTTCAGATACAGGATTTTATAAAAACAAAGTTTTATGAAATGTTCTTCACATTTTTATGTTTGCTGCTTAAAAATATGGGTCGATTTTCACACTGGTCTTAAAAACAGCAGACAGGCTGATTGAAAATGCTAATTCATTCTCTGCCAGTAGGTGGCACTTTGGAAACTGCAGAAATATAGCGGTTTTCCTCAGTAATGGCAAAGCAACGCTGCGCCTATAAACGCTACTTTATCAGGCATTATAAGAAAATGCCATCAATACTTTTCTGAGGACAGTCGGTTCCCTTCAGCGATACATTCACATTAACATGCTGTTTTGACTTTGTAATGTGCAGCGCTCATATTTATTCAATGAATCATAGCCTTTTGAAGTTTAATCCAGCCATTTCACGATTCTTGCATGAGTTTTGGACAAATCTGTGCAAATCTATTTGTGGCAGTCAATGTTGATATTGTGGCGTGCCGCCACAAATAAATCAATGTATGGGAAACACTAAAACTTCAGACAGAACGATAGATAGAACAATAGAAAGATAGATAGATAGATAGACAGACAGAACAACAGAAAGAATGATAGCTAGATAGATAGCTAGATAGACGCATACAATGCACTTACTGGTCTTAGATTCTCCAGACGCGACCTCAGATAAGTATCTAAAGTAATCGCCTTTCATTTTCAGGTAAAACACCTTGCTCTCTGCCTGAGAAGCATTGGGAATGAGGAACTTCTCCAAAAGACCCTGTCAAGACAGGTTGGGATCATCAGGATGGCTCATATTTGTGGTCAAACATAGTGAAAAACGGAACAACATTTGAGTCTTACTGAAATTAAAGTGTTCTTTGTAAACTGAAAACTAAATATTTTGTATTTAAGAATGAACTCCATTTGATGTCATCATTATAAAAGGTTCAGAAGATGAAGAGAAAGAAGTGTAGATACCAGCACATCATTGCAGATGTTCTGCAGTTCCGTCTCGATCTTTTCACGATACTCGCGTGCCATCTGTTGCTTCTTCTCGTTCCCCTCGGTCTTCTGCTCGATGCTGGAGATCACACGCCAGGAGGAGCGACGGGCGCCCACCACGTTCTTGTACGCCACAGAGAGCAGGTTGCGCTCTTCATTGGAGAGCTCCACGCCGCCCTCGGTAACAGCCTTCATAGCGGCTGCCATGTCATCATAGCGCTCGGCCTGCTCGGCGAGCTTGGCTTTCTGCACCAGGTCACTCTTGTCCATTTTTAGACTGAGAATCATATACGAGTAGGTATGAGCACAATAATTCACAGAAAACCACTAAATTAAATGGATTTAGAAGGTTTTGAAAAGTATTAATGCTCAATAATTGATGATGAGCAGTCGATTAACAATCTTCATTTTCATCTGATATTGAATCTAAGTTTGATATTTTAGTTTATGCTGTTTTCAGCTGATGCACAAAACTTGACTAAACATTATTTGTAGCGTGACTCCCATCCAATAATTTTAATAAGCTTTGTGCTGTTACTTTTGATATAAACAATGTCTCAGCTTTCAAATTTTAATCTTGGAATTAAAATAATAAATGCAGTTTTGACACACTTTAATATGGCATGACAGATCACTGTAGCCACACAAGTTAAAGTGGCACATGAACTGATCATTTCTTCCTCTTGACTAATAGTTAATAGCACAAAATAAATTTTAAAAAACATCAGGTGTTGAAAGAAACAGTACAACTTACTGAAACACATCATGTCTCATGTAATCGTTAAATCTGCGTTTCAACCAGAGGTATGTCAATAAAACAGCTTGTAAGCAATGTCACAAAGTTGCAAAAGCCATTCTATGTCCATAAACTCAATAGTTAGCAAGAAAAATTAACTCTAGAGAAGAGTATTTTGATAAATATGTGCACGGTTCTACATATTCATTATATTTTTACTTAAACTGTTAGTGAATTCTTATTTAATGTATGTTTGAATACATCTGTCATGTACACAAGTTATGACAATCACGTTTAAATGTTTATATTTTCAACAATTAATTGGACTAGAAACAACTATTATCATTAAAGGGGTCATATGATGTGATTTCAAATTTCCTTTCTCTTTGGAGTGTTACAAGCTCTTGGTGCCAAAATAATGTTTTTTTAACCTTAAACCGCATAAACACATTTCATTACACCAAATACACAAAATAATGTTCTTTTTAGCAGCATCATGACCCCTTTAAGAAATTCATATGAAAATTTACTGATGTGTAACTTAATTCGTTGCATACAATTCAGTGCGGATTACTATGCCTAAAAATAAACAGCAATTTTATTTAACAGTTTGCACTCTTTAATATCCATGTAATAATTGACGGGGTTCCCTAAATATTTTACAGTATCACTTCAGAGATATTTTTTCTTGTACATCCTGTCTTGTACCTACATGTCCAAATGAATCGAAACGGATCGAATCAAGAGCTTGTGAATCGAAATCGAAGAACACAATATATTACAAAACACGGCCCTAATAGGTTTATGATCTCATTGAGAAGAAAGTGATAAGAAAGTGTCAAAAAATGTAATGCACTACCAACATAAAACATTATGGCATCATGTCTAACACTCACTTGACACATTTAACAAGGCCTGCTTAGAGGCAAAACAGCGTGAGAACAGCGACTAAATAGTAGATGAACGCGTATTTTACTAAATCAAATTGAACATTCGGGCCATTGCTAAAATAATCGAACTGTGCCGCGGCTTTCATAATAAATTATTTGTCCTTTTCTCGGTCGAGACGTTCAGCCAATCGCTTCAATTGCACTCTGTCAGGCTCCGCTGATATGAGCTAGCACGCTAACCACACATCCTTTCACTGAAAGGAAGAAATTCTACGATAATATGTAATGATTCTCAACCTTCTAAACAATACTGCTAACGTTATACTATTATCTAACACTAAATGCTGGCAGTGGGCTCGGATATTTCATTGTATCGATTCAGGGCGTCTGACGGACTGAGGCCTGAAGCGCTTAGCAACCTGCTAAATCCCTCCGCTGGCCGCGAGAACGGAGCACAAGATCGTTCACGCAATGAAAGCATGTTATGTGAGACACGTGAACAGTGATAGAACGAATAAGGGAAATACACTCACGTTGTGAACGGCGTTTACTCCGACTTTAATCGTTAAAAAGACACAAATCGGGTCCCCGTCCTCCGCCTCGCTCTTCGGTTCTTCTGGGCAGTACCTCTTCCGCTTACAGTGACACTTCCGCTTCCTGCAAACCGTTCCCACTGTCTGAACGTTTTTTTTTATTATGTAACATACATTTAACATCATGAGTAACCCGTTTAGTTCATGTTAAAATACCGGGATCGACGAGTACTGACTCATTAAAGCAACGACAAGTTAAGCACAGAATTTAAGGAATTTAATTAAGAAGTTATGCACAGAGAAAGCATTTATATTAACGTCTGTGTTCTTAGCTCTGGGTTTTGAACTTCATTAGTTTTATGTTTATTTGTAAATGCCACTGTCTGCAGGTATAAGTGACACATTTCCTGCACAAATACAGCATAGACCAAAAGTTGTCAGCTGTTCAGGCTGAGAGACCAGCTAAAATCAGTGAAGCACATTTGTGAGAGTGAGGTAAAGTGTGGCAGATTTACTCTGGTAAAAAAGGCAGCACAGTAATACGCCAACTGCGATTTCATCTCCAATCTACTGAAATTAGAACAAAATATCTTTGACATAAGGAAGTCACAGAAGTACTGCATCTAAACAAATACAATTAAAAATCAATAAATAAAAGCAAACACAAGCAATGTTCGAAGAAGCTACATCAGCCCGACACAGTGAAAGATGTTAACTACTTTACAGTTCAAAAGTTTTGGTTTGGTAAGATCTATCTATCTATAGAAATATTTTTACCATTTTACATTGACTGTTCTCTATTTTAATGTAATTTATTCCTGTGATCAAAGCTGAATTTTCAGCATCATTACTCCAGTCTTCAGTGTGACATGATTCTTCAGAAATCAATATGCTGATCAAGAAACATTTATTATTATTATCAATGTTGAAAACAGTTGAGCTGCTTAATATTTTTTATTTAAACTGTGATAAATTTTTTAGGATTCTTTGATGAATAAAAAGTTCAAAAGAACAGCATTTATTTGAAATCTTTGTAACATTATAAATGCCTTTACTGTCAGTTTTGATCTATTTAATGTGTCCTTGTGGCTAATAAAAGTCTTACAGACCCAAACATTTGCATGCACCAATAAGCAAGAAACAAGGACACAAAACTGAAACCTTTAGCCATTTTTATAAAAAAAAAAAAATCTAATTTCAAATATGCCAACAAAAAGCATTCAGTTCCATCTAAGCACTGCAAACACACCCAAACATCTGCTGCCCAATGTTCTACTGAAGAAATCAGTGCAATCTGTAATCGTCTGTGTAATTACATAAGAACAGTTTTCTCATTTTCTAGAGATCGTCGGAGATTCAAAGTCACACTTTTGCTGAATGTCTGGATCACGAAACACTCGCTTGGATCCAGTCTGAACATTCTTGCATTCTTGTGCATTGACTGTCAATGACTTAGCGTCGGGAGATTCCGTTTTCCTTTGATAAAACAAAGTCCGATATAAAAGGTTGTGGTTCATTTTGCAAAATTCATTTTCATTTTCCATCCAATAATATCACTGCATTTTCTCTGAAAAACAAATACTGCTCTGAAAGTAAAAATGTACCAAATAGACAGAAATATGCTCTGGTTATCAGATATGCTAAATGCAGAAAAAAATATGATATTTCTGGAGGAAGGAGGTAAAGTAAGACAAGCAAATCAGAGGCAGCCTGTTCGCAAGCCTTCTAGCTTCAGTCAGATTTATTAATAGAGATTACACTCAAAACCCTCCAGAGTTCACTCCAAGCCTTGGGTCACTGCACTTCAGAGGAGAGCAGCGAGGACAGTCGTCAGCCAGAGGGGCAGAGCATCAGTCTGAGGAAGAGGCCAGAACAGGGTGCTTGTATTAATTGGCTTTGGCTCGAAGCTGGGCTCTTTTGCCGGTGACAGCCTGGAAGCCGGTCTTGATGCTGGCTACAGAGCAGCGTGAGTGACAGGTTTCACACTGCAGGAAGTAGAGACGCGTGTCCTTCTGCAGAATTGTATCCGGTGAGCGGCAGGTGTGACAAGTCACATATTCCTCTGTGAAACACAAAGAGAAAATTCATTGTCGAAAATGAGTAACTTAAACAGTAAATGCTGTGTTTTCACCTTGTTTTCTGTAAACCAAAGGAGTGGAGTGGACTGAACTAAACACTATCATACTACATGTACTGAAATTGAAAGGAGGTCACTACATCATTTACATGAAACTAGGGCTGCACAAGTATTACTATGATAATCAGGATTTCGAAAGCACAAATCACATGGGAAGACATATGTGTCGAAATGAGGGCGAGATGCATCACTTGCACCGAATGTTATGACGATTAAGTGCTCATGGCTACAGTATGTATTAACTGCTTTTAAAGTGTTTGAAGTGCAATATTTAATTTATTTGTACATGGTAAAATTAAATGATGCCAAGTTACAGCAAGTATGTCGGGGTATTTGATGGGGGGTGCAAATATCATCAAATAGGCCTTCATACGTGCAAAATGCTTGACTTACTTATATATCTTCTCAAGACGTTTTCTATTTGTTTCTGTTGAAAGCGTCCCTTAATTACAAGCTGGTTATTTCCATCTATGGATCCACTAGAAGCAGGAATGCCAAAAGATGTTTGGGCTGTCGATGCAACCTGAAGATGAACATGTAAACATGCAAGTTTAATAGATAAAATTACACCTATAAACTAGAATCACTGGTTTGGTTATATTCACATATGGGTCAATGACAAGTAGAAGTGTCCATGTTAAAGAAAAGGAATTTATTTATTTCACACCCACATGTGAGTGTATACACCTTAATCATTTTCTAAAAGGTGTATATATATGATGAGTTTATTTGCAAAAACGGATAACTCCGTTTTTAACCATTTTCATTTTCAAAAATCATGTTTTTTCATTGTGCATTCCAATTAATCTCAATCAAACTGCAGTTGGGTTATTTTGATAAGGTTAAAAAAATAATAAAAAAATACA